TATATATATATATAACTAGACGCGCCTTATGTTAGTACGGCAGTGAAGCATCAGTACTAACACTGATGTTGCTGTTTTTAGTGATGAGTATCCCAGCCCTCGTGCTTCCTTCGGGTGGCATGGCAGCTAGGCACCGGAAGGGTACTACAGCTGAACGACCGAGGACTAGCTTCATTCTTCACCTCAGAGCGACATTTCCCGCTGACTTGTCGTTTCCAACATAGCATTTTCCGATGATGGCACTGCTTATTACTCCGCTCCTTATCTAGCGCTGCGCTCTGCTTCCTAAAGACTTGTGCGAAACCGGAGCGCCCAGGAAGCGAGCGGAATTCACCAGCACAACTACCGTTAGTCCCACTCTTCCTCCGCCGCGTTTCCGCGCCCCGGTCGTAGTCCCCATCCGATCATCGAAAGAAGGTCAACCGATGATCATGACATGAATGTGTAATAAGTGATTGCGGTATAAATATGCCAACATCGTCGACGGAATGTGGACTAAGAAAACAAATGCCGCCAAAGGTTTGGGCATAAACTAATTCTGCAAAGATCACAACCGAAAACTACCTGCTCCGCGCGGGGAGGAGGCTAGCACAACCACAGATAAATGAGAAGGAGCACAAGGGGGATAAGATTTTGCCGAGACGCCAAATGATGACTGGACTGAACTAGTTTGCACGATTCCAGTATTGCTCCGGGGAGGACGAGACAAAACTCAGTTTGAATTCTCCTTGTGGTCATTATTATCTGCAGATAATTCCGGAATAACGTAGGATATATCTTCCCAAGGATGACGATATAGGCCTTGATGAAGTCGCTTTTGATCAAGATAATGCCCTGTTTTTTTTTTGGGAGGTAATGCCGTGTTTTTTGTGGGGGGGGGGTGGATAGAAATCAAAACACGTAATTAAGAGAATGCAGAACCTAAAAATGCTTAAGTAAATTAGCGAAAAGTAATACGGAAAAGACTTCTCCCAAATGACCTCAAACGAATTCACTGCAGCGGTTCTACCTTCGAGTATGACCACAGCGAAACGTGTCGAGTTAACAGTAGAACGCTTGAGAGAAACCGTATATCCCGCTCGGTAGTTAGTGTTTCCTCAACAAGGTTGTAGTGCCATACGGAAGCAAACAATTTCTGAGGAACAATGGATGACTGTCCGGAAGTTAACTGACGCCTCACAATCGGGGATGCTAAGCACCAAGTTAATTGGGCGCACATATCGACAGACAGAGCAACCGGAGGCGATTTACAGATGACATCGGCTGCAGAGAGATCAGAGCCTTGAAGTCTGAGAGCTATTTTTGAGTTGCACGCTCGAAAAGTCATGGTCCGGAACGGCTGTTAGTCTCCGTTTAACGTTTGTGAGTATGACAAACTTCAAATTTCAGCAGAAGCAATCGGCTTCGCCTTAGCCCTTTGCAGATTGAGCACTAGGACAAAGCGCTTCAGGCATCCACCCTACAGAAAGAATTCTTTTGAATAAAATCGAAACCGCCGTAAGACACCAACAGTCTCTAGTTAAAACCACCTTAATACACTCATCACGAGACATTCAAATGAGCATGCAGCTTGGTAGCGGGACGAAAAAGCAGAATTTTTGTTCTCAGAGAGCCGAAGCTCATTTGAAATGCGTTAGAAAAACACACCACAATGTATAAACTCCCGGCTTGTCCAGAGTGACTGTTTACGAGTAGGATAGACGATGCATCGATAGATTTTCTTGCTTCCCAGAACTTCCCTAGACAAGCCACACACGGTTTCGTCCCTCAACATTGGTGAGGTCCCTGCCATTACCCCCACCATGGCACTTGGAAAGAGCTGAGACCTCATAAGATGTACTCAACTGAATGCTGAGTACCAGCATTGCTAAGCACTTTTGGAAGTAAAAGTACGGCTTAAGCGCATTCATTTTGACGTGTTGATGAAATGTTTCAACTCATATTTACATAGTGAACCCATACTGTCTAGAAATCGACAGGCTCGTTAACAGAGAACGATTGAATAGATTTTTCCTAGCGCAAACGTCCCCTAGGCCACAGAATAAGTCACCCAACTGAGCGTTTGCTCATCCGTTGCCTTCAATGCTATTCTCCTGTACCTGTCAAGCACCTTGAATCCTGATCGCCCTTTAGATTTGATTCGTCGTCGTTCAGCTGTAACATTCGGTGCCTAGTTGCCATTCAGCCCGATGGAAACACGAGGGTTGAGACACTACCAGGTTGTCCAAGCCTATGCAAAATCACACACACACACACAGCGTCTACACATAGACGTGTTGGCCCTTCACGATTCACTGGAGTCCAACGTGCGCTAGTTAGCGATGGTAATGAGCTCGACTCCCATGCCACACGACCGGAGTGTAAAGCCGGATTGTAGACAAGGATATGAACCAGTGGTGGGATTCAACAGATGCGAAACGTGACAAGAACTTTGCGCTTGGGAGTGTTTAGTAGGGAATCGATCCAAGACCGGAAGCAGACTGGCCAAAGGAGAGGCAATTCGGTTAAGATGCGAAACGTGACAAGAACTTTGCGCTTGGGAGTGTTTAGTAAGGAATCGATCCAAGACCGGAAGCAGACTGGCCAAAGGAGAGGCGAATTCGGTTAAATAGACTCACTGATTCGGGTACTACAGTACAGCGCTTGTGAAAAAAACTTTCCCGTGTCACCACCACCTCAAAGCATGTAAATCGCCTTCGTGATACAAATGAGATTCCGAAAACGAACGTCTTTTGAGAAAGTGATTGAGCCCAACTGCGAAACAGTGGAAGCAGTTTGAACGTATATGGGAGGCAAAAAGATTTTATACCTCAGGTATGGACTATAGAAACGCTGATGCGAGTATATTTTGACGGCACGGAATGCGTTTCACCACCTTGCGAGAAAAAAGGATCTCTCCGAACCTCGGAGGAGATAATTTCTGGCTGACCTACCCCCACATCTGAAATATCATAGTGACAATGCCATTTGTAACTATCACGAAAAAAGGTCTGCTGGAACCCAGGTGTTTTTAAGCAACGGAATGTGCTGCGCCGGGCCGCCTCGTGCACGATATTCGAGATGTCGCGATGCATGAGCAAGAGATTCAGCTGGGTTCCAAGTGAGTCTCCCGCGAAACCAAATTGGTTTCCAAATGAGTGTTTTCCTCTCTCTCTCTCTCTCTCTATCCACTAAAATGTTTCACCATTGATAAGCTGGAGCACTTTGTTTTGTATTCTATTAGCGAAGCTGTCGTAGAGATGTTGCGGACAATTCTCGGTAGTTTACCCGTAGCTTCTCACTTCAATTTTAGTTTTTGTTATTTGAATGAGTCCGGAGTCACTCAGACCTGTCGAGGACCGATTGCGCGGGCGTCCATCCATTATCAGGTTTCACGAATTTGTGCTACTTTTGCCGTGATACTCATAATCGTTTTTCGCCCTGGGAAATCCCCGAACGAAACTCATGTTAGGCTTAACTGAACACTCGTTGGCCAAAGTGTCCAGTTTGAGTTCTAGCTAAGCTAGTTGGGTGAAAATGAACACCAATAACCGACAACTTTCGGAGTAAGGAGAATCCCGAGGGAAACACCACCTGACTATTTTATTTTCATCGCTATTATTAATATTAATATTATTAGTGGGGCGAGATTGCTCCGTGATTAGAGCCTGCAGGTCCGTGGTTCGAACCCGACTTCGACCTCTCGAGTTCCCCTGTCTAGGCTTGGACAACTTGGTAGTATCCCAGCCCTCGTGCTTTCTTCGGGTAGCATGGCAGCTAAGCACCGGAAGGGTGTTACAGCTGGACGACTTTATCATTATTAGTTCGCAGATTATTGTGTAGGATAGTACATCAGGTCGACAGATTGGTCAAGTGGAAACACTCGTTGCAAAGACCAGTACAACTTACCAATAAATCCGATGCTTCTACCAAGAACGAACAGACCATTGAGTGTACCGATGTTCACATACTCCTCCGCCTCTTGGCTAACGTTTGGGAACCCAATACGAACACCGGTTGGGAGGTAAGGGAAAGATTGTATGAGAAGGTACATGTAAACAATCAAGAACTTAGAAAGCTATTGATACAAGGCTTGATAGGGAGTATGGGACCACTTTAAAAGGTAGTTTATTCGTAGTAGAACAGCGAACGATTTACCAGTTGGCTAAACTCAGCGATGAACAGATTTCACCATTGTGAAACTCGTCCTGAAGCAAGACAGATAAATTTTCGGCCTGAGAAACGAGCTGCAGGATGTACCCCAACTGGCTTCGGAGCGCACACATTGAATGAAAGAAGCGTCTTTTGGGTCTGCGGTACACATTTAGCACTTGATACTTCGCACCCTTTGTTCCTGTTTCTTCAGTAGCGCTAGTATGTTCAAGTAGTATAAGTTGTCGAAACTGTTCAAGTGCGAGTTGATCGCTGCCCACTAGCTGCCGCTCGTGGCCGAATGGTTCGGTCTAGAACTACTAGTGGAATCGGACTGAAGATTCGTGGGATGAACACTCTCCAATAGAGATGACGTAGCTGTATATCACGTCTCGGCTTTTAAGCACAAGTTGGCCTCATTTACAAGATAAAATTTCCACTGAAAAGTCCCGAATCTCCTCAAACTACCAAAGACCAGTAAGCAGCTCAGAGGGAGAATAAAATTCACCCGGTGAATGGAAATTCCATACGGGAAGCCGTCACTCGGAAAGCCAGTCAATCACTTCGTGACCACGTGATGTGGTTTCCTTGATTGGACGATAAATAGCACTATATCCTGTTTGGGTGCAATCTAACTGCACTGCCGTAGCCGCTCATGGCTGAACACCTAAGTAGTCAAACATATAACCTAGGTGTCGAGGGTTCAAAACTCTCTGGAGTTTCGTGAGATGCACACTGCTGATGATTCCCAATAAGGATGAAACAGATGTACAGTGCTTCTGGGTTTTAGGAGGTGACATCTCTATACAGAAAATTTTCCGCTACTGTTCACTTTGTCACACGCGTATTCTCCAAAGTACCCTGAACCTAAATCACACTGGATTTAGTTGGATGATGTCACTCATACGTTAGAAGGAGACACATAGGTCCGTACGGGTTGTTCCACACTAGAATACAGGGTAATACTTCAAAGTGTTTCACTCTCCCTGCACATTTTACGAACTGCTGTACAGCCCAGCTGTTTTTCGTAATTTCCATCGCTCCGGTAGAACGCAGACCACTCAGATTAGCAACACAACTCCTGGAACGACGAACAGATGCAAAACGCCACTGTGGCCAGTTCACACTAAACGCACAAAGTCGCGTATTCCAGATAATCCCATGTTCTGTACCGCTTGCGTCAATAAATTATATAAAAGTTTCGTCGGTAGTAGATATATGGTATCAAGTGAACTTTTTGTTACATGCGGTTTGTGAATTTGACGACCATATATGGAAAACAAATATTTCGGGTCTTGTCAGTTAGTTTTAGTGGATCAGTCTTCTTGCTGGTCGTTCAGAGGTAGCCGTTGGGCATCATCGCATAGGAGAGACCGTTTCACCACAGAAAGAAAGAAAGAAAGAAAGGGTTCAGCTGTAGCACCCTTCCAGTGCCTAGCTGCCATGCCACCCGAAGGAAGCACGAGGGCTAGGATACTGCCACGTTGCCCAAGCCTAGACAGGGGAAGTCGAGTGGCGGAGGTCGGATTCGAACCACGAACCTTCCGGTCAGTAAATTCGCGCTCTAACCACTTGGGCCATCTCGCCACCTCACCACAAATGGAATTCCAAACCAGAAAAGACACTCCGTTGTAACTCCCGCTATTGAGAATATACTCTTTTCTTCTCGTGCTATGCAAATGGAGAAACCAGTCGTTTGGACTGTCCAAGCTACTCCGGAGCATCGCATCTTTCCATAAAGTGATATCCTGTATCTGTTTGAATCTAGTCAGGGATGCGTTTCTGTGTTACAAACACAGAGGTCGTCAGAGCATTTTCAAGATGTCCTCGAAAGTTAGTTGGCAAAATCAGTTTGTATCCGAGGCACTTGTTCTCGCCCGGAGAGATTCCCGCTTCACAATACCCTACAGACGTCTCGGCAACTAAACGATTTTCTTTGAGCTGTGCTTTGCCATCGAAATTCCCGCCAAGCAAACTTCGTAGCAGTACCTAGTTAAGCAACTCCGGAGACATAATTTCACCACAAACAAATGATAGCAACGAGCATTGGACTATAATTAGCTCAATTGAGCTAGCATGTTGCTCGTATTGAGACCAGAACTTAGCACTTATAGCAAAAATCACGATCAATTGCACCGCTGTGGTAACGTTTGACCACAGTACATGTCGGGACAGTGATCGATTGATTCAATAACGCTCTGCAATACCTCAGCGCGAAATATGATCTTTTCAGAATTACACACGCATCGAAATTGACCTTAAATGCAACGAAGAAGCAATTCTGATGGTATGTCCAGAATTCCAGTGTCCTAATTTTGAACACGAGATGATTAACCGTGAAAAAGGGTAGCCTTATTAACCTTTCACACGCTGTATCACCGTATTAGCATACATTATAAGTTTTTATTATCGGATAGGATGCTCATAAAAAATACATTTTTTTTAACTTTGGCAATCAGTTCCTTTTGGGAGACGATACTTTCTTGGGAGCCCTTTTTTCTTCGGGACACACTATCTATAGAATACTAGATATCTTCGAATCTCCCGTTTTTTGAGTGTTTTTCGCTGACAGGTATTGTCGTCATTTTGAGGTCTCAGTAACTGCGCCAAGCCAGAGAACATGTCCAAAACCAAACAAGATAGAATACAGTGATAAAATGGGGGACTGACCGAGTAAATAGCCCGGAATGGCGCAGAAGATCTACCATAGCCACACCAATCATTCCGTCCACATTGAGGATAAGGTTAGGTCGCTGATGAAGGCGAGAAATGCAGAAAAATGCGAGCTCATAAACAGAGAAGCAAACGGAACAGAGTGGGTGGTTCTGACACAAGAACAAAGTACTGGTGGCTGACTGCTCAGTAAAGACCCCATAGGTTCTGATGACGTGACAAGATGAAACGAACTATGATTCAAGGTCTGTTAACGTACATGATCACTCGTTGTGAAGGCAAACACTCCTTTGCAAATTCAGTTGATGGAAGACATAACTGAATCTTTCATCCGTAATGTACTTTTGTCGAATGTATCAGTTGGGACAATATTCAAGACATTTAAGTATTTGCCGCCACACGATACTACTCAACGACGATGAAATTCAAGTATAAACCACTATCGATCCAGACCTTACAAGGACCAACCAGGATACCGTGTCATAAATGAGTTCCAACTGTAAGCAAGTGGCAAAATACAACCAATTGCAAACTGGGTTGGTTTTAAGGGGGATACTCGAATAAATCCCAGTTTAATCAAATGAATGTGTTGCATAGAGGCCGCCTCATGGTTGAATCGGTTAGATACTTAAGATATCCACACCTTAGATATCATTCCAACTGAAACATGAAGCGGTCTTTGTGTAGAACGAAAGACTGCTGGAGTTGAATCAAGTCTCTCTTTAACACTATCTTAGTTTGCAAATGAACATTTCGCCAACTGCGTACAATTTGGGTTCAAGTGGAACACAAGGTTGAAGAAAACTCAGGGACCACGCCTCCCTAATGAGTTCCAACAAAGGACAAACCGGTAGTGGGCCGTCAACAGTTTACACTGATTTTATGAGCACGGTCACGTGGCACTATTAACTTGAAGTCGGGTTTGAACCAAACCGTGTTCCAACTTTGTGGATAACAGCACTACTCTGGTTTTGTTATCATACTCTTTGTCAGACGGCAGCAAAGCCTAGAATCCTACTGAAAATTCACCATGCAAATCCGGAAAATAGCCCAACACACAAAATGTACGGCTACTGGTCAATCCACAGAGGAGTTTCGGTCACTTAAAACCCGCTCCTGACTTCAACCATTCGATATTGGCATGGAGCGAGATGGACCAAGTGGTTAGAGTGAGAATTTACAGACCGTGGTTCGAATCCGACCTCCGCCTCTCGACTTCCCCTGTCTAGGCTGGCAGTATCCCAGCCCTCGTGCCTCCTTCGTGTGGCATGGCAGCTAGGCTACAGCTGAACGATAGTGGCATGATAAACCACTTTAGATGTCTACCTCTACATGCCAGCAGCATGTGTGGTTCCGTAAGCTTGCACGAGGCAGTGGCAGCCCAACAGATACGGCTAGTGCCAAACGCGCTCACATCTGCTTCAAACGAAACGCAAACTCTTACGGCAGATAAGTCTCACGACAATCGCGGGAGGTGGCGTCTATCCTGCAGTATATTTCGATGCGGGCACCGGAATTTCGTTTAAAGGTTGGAAGAACGGCTTGTCAATAAGTCGGATTTCTTATTTCAGCACCCTGGAATAACGAAAATTCTCAAAACAGACGGTGCCGATGAAGGGATGCACCGGTGTGCCGCCGGTGAGCGAACAAGTGTCGTTCACAGCTGTACAAACGGTGACAGGGAGCTAAGCTAGTCTTAAGTGCGGTTCATCGTTTTGCCTGTCATAAAAGAGGTGCAAGTAAAGTAATATCAATAGAGCGAATCTTATCTTGGACTTTCAGATAAGTCAAGTACGTATTCCTCTGGGGTTAGCCCACAGAAAGGTCTTCAACAACCCGAGGCCGAAATGCTACACTTTCAGCGTTTCGAACAAGCCATTCTGGGATACCACCAAAGTCCCTGTCGTTTGCGATTTGCTTCAAATCGTTTAGCTGTAACATCGTTTCAGTGACTAGCTGCCATGCCACCCAAAGGAGGCACGAGAGCTACCAAAGCCTAGACAGGGGAAGTCGAGAGGCAGAGGTCGGGTTCGCACCACGGACCTTCCGGTCAGTGAATTAGCGCTCTAACCACTTGATCCATCTCGCTCCCGATAAACTATTTGAAAACACATCACCCAACTTCTATCGGGATCGCACAGAAACCTTGAAAACAGACAGTCATGGAGGTCGCTGAACATCAATCGTGAAATTCAGAGAATCAAGACATGAAACACTTGGGAAAGGAAGTGCTCCGACACCTGAACTAATAATAAGGTGACCTATGTCATTAGGATAACTCAATACTATGACGTGTGAGCTGCCGGGTCAAATAAGACGCCATTATCAAACCTAGGGGTCAATGGAGTATGCCACTAACCAGACTTAGAACAGCGGAGAAAAACAAGACGTCACACCTTTGATGTGGTAACCTTTTCAACGGCGAACGCGTAGTCGACCAGAGGTGTTGCTGGAAAGTGTTGATGTACGAAATCGGACAACAGATGCACGCGCATGTCCGGATTCGTGATCGACTTCACGCGATGACCGATCCCCATGATGAGACGCGATGCTTTACGCTCGGACGCGACGAATTCCGCAGGCGATAGTCCGGCATCGAAAGCCGCGGCGAATTGTCGGGCAGCTCCATCCAGTGCACCGCCAAAACGATCACCCTGTAATCGGTAACGGAAGACAAATCATGCTAAGCGGGGTGAAGTTCGGGACGGAGAAACGAGTGTAAGGTTAGCTGAGAAACCGTAGCCGAAATGGAGAAGAGTAGGTTCTTTGGACAAAATGACTGGGCATACTTTGCACGGTCAAATTTATAAAGGATGAAAATTTGTTGCAAAAAGTGCTTTTCCAAGGGTGCTAACGACATGTGCATCCATGTGGTATCTGACAACGGCTAGATGTCGATACGCCAAATGGATAGAGAAATCGAGCGGATGAGTACGGGAGCTCTCAGGAAGGGCTTAGTGGCAAACGACAGAAGATAGTTACCGTGGGTGGAACATGCGATCATTCGTGAACCCGATAGCCAAGAAGGCGATTCTAGTTAGCGGCTTGTACATCATTCTCCCAAGTTGTACTCGCTTGCAGAAATGTGTTCTCGAACAAAATATGCGGTACTAGGGACATCAACGACGTCGGTTCGCCCCAAAAAGGGATAAAGGGAAGATGAAGTACCATAGTTGATAATCGCTGGCAAGGATCATTGTATAGCAACACTGGTGTTGCATACTTTCAGCTTTCAAGGAAACTATGTGGAAGAAAACTGTCACACGTACTGAACGTAACGTAATGTAGACCGCCCCAGTGACGTATCAAAGCAGTGGCACGAAGGTATTACAGCACCCCCACTTCACAATGAAAATTGANTCGTCTTGTACATCATTCTCCCAAGTTGTACTCGCTTGCAGAAATGTGTTCTCGAACAAAATATGCGGTGCTAGGGACATCAACAACGTCGGGTCGCCCCAAAAAGGGATAAGGGAAGATGAAAGTACCATAGTTGATAATCGCTGGCAAGGATCATTGTATAGCAACACTGGTGTTGCATACTTTCAGCTTTCAAGGAAACTATGTGGAAGAAAACTGTCACACGTACTGAACGTAACGTAATGTAGACCGCCCCAGTGACGTATCAAAGCAGTGGCACGAAGGTATTACAGCACCCCCACTTCACAATGAAAATTGAGCCGAAGAGATTTCCTCCAACTGGAGGTTCGGAAATAGGGCTGTTCATCAGCCGCAATAGGATGTGAACCTTCAAAAGTCTAAACATTACGTTTTTCGAAGTGATTCCGCATAAGAAAAGTTACGAAAACTGGATGAAGTCGAGAAAGCAGGCCCAAATGTGCTTGTTCTAGATTCCGTCCAGCAAACTGGGCCTCACGGACGAGGTCCACACAGCATAGAGTAGTTTTGAATGTCAGATTTTGTGTTACAGGCCACATTCTCACTGAGGAGATCAAGCAGTTATGTAGAGGGAACGTTCCGAACAATCGTTAGTCGTTCAGCTTAACACCTTTTNTTTTCGGTGCCTAGCTACCACGCAACCCGAAGGAAGCACAAGGTTGCCCAAGTCTAGACAGGGGAAGTCGAGAGGTGGAGGTCAGGTTCGAACTACGGGCCTTCCGGTCAGTAAATTTGCTCTCAAACGACTGAGTGACCTCACCACCCGTTAGTCATCAAGTAAAAACGGATCATTAGCGACCTGAGGGATTAGCGACAGACCAATCGGTGTGCAGTTCGACATGGATCAGAACTGATCTGATCGGACGCGACCAGGCAGGTGATAAACAGTAAGCAAAATAGGGGGAAAGCTTAGTAACAGAGGTACGAAATGTAAGCATACAACGAACAGACAAAATACAACAAAGAGAACGACAACCATGATAAGTGATTAAAAATTTCCTGGGCTATGGGATCGCACGTAAGATGAGATGCTAAGATTTCGACCAAAACGAGAACAAAGACGTACGATTGTCAAAAGTCCCGCAGTTAGACAGGACAACAAATCCTTTCCAGCACGTGCGGTTACGATTGTGTTCAACGCTCCGGAAACGGCAGGTCCATGATCCGCTGTGATTACAAGGCAGAGTTCAAGAAATTTGGCCATGTACGATGGCAATCTGAAAAGAAAAACACAAACAGGGTGTCGTCAACTTTCACCAGCACACGTTTTTAGAGCGGAAAGAGTAGCTGAAACCAGTGCAGATTCCCGGCTTGTCTGGTCATCCAGACAACAGGGAGAAAACGAAGTCCCATCCCGGATATTCTGCTTGTTGCCTGAGAATGCGATGCTACAGTCAGTCTGGCTAGTAGTGCGCTTCCAGGATAGTTGTCCTACGGGCTTGTTGGGAGGGCATCGCAATGGCTGCATCGATTTGCTAGCCGAAGTACAATGCCTAGGAAAGTTCTTACAATTCTACAGGCGCTGCAAACCGATAAAAAGTTTGGTTAGGTCGGACCACAGTTGGTCGTAGTTGGCGGTTCGTTCAACGCATGGGTGTGCGTCAAAAGTTCTAATTAACTAGTTGTTGATACACTAATGGAACCACTGCTTTTATCGATTACGCATACATTAAGATAGTAATAAACTAATAAACGCTGTAATCAGGTAGTACGCTCCTGAAAAGTAATAAATCTTTGTTTAACACCAGTGGATGATGGATACAACGTTACGCCGACCAAGAATTCAACAATGTCAGAATTCACGATAGAAAATAACCACAGAAAAAGACTGACCGAATGAATAATGTTGCCCAATCTAGAAAAGATCGCCCTCTAAAGAGACACCCATTATAGTTTCATTGAGTGTGAGAGTGAAATCAGAGAGAACGCTGCCCTTTCAGATGGTCTACCTACGGGAATTCATTTTCAAGGAAGGTGAACGCCGCTGTAGGGACAAGTTACTTAGTAGTTCGCACGAATAATCAAAAGAAGCGTCCACATAATACTTTAGCGTACGAAAGTATGGTATCTGGCCGCACTGAGAGCAACAATCAACCAAACGAAGAGTTAATGATTAGGGGGAAATTACATACAACGAAGCCCCGGCGACAAAATAAACCTCAAGCGCTAATTCCTGTAAAAAGAGAACGTTGTTTGGCGGTGAGAAAAATGCCCGAAGATATTGCCAGTGGCTTTCTGAACATATTCTAAAATGTCGCTCTTAAAGGATGTGCTGATATTTATCCATTTCCTGCCAGTAAGACTGCACTCAAGTAGTCCGTTGGGAACCCAGGGTTACCTTGATTATTAGTTAGTTAGTTCCCAACAGAATACGGAGCCGAGCTCCAAGTAGTCACGAAAGCTGTCTGAGCTACACTTGAGCCAGAAGAATTTTCTGATATTGCAGGTTAGTGGCTAGCTACCATCCAACCATCCGAGATGTGAGAACTTCTGCAGCAGTGATCATGATGCCGCAGTGATAACAGCGAGGCGAGTGTATGACCTTACGTCCCACAGACAACAAGAATAAGATTTTCCGGAGTTGGCTGGGTTTTTTCAAAAGCATCACGCCTTCAACAAGGAAACTGGATTTCTCCAGCCGGATAGTTCAAATATGGGACCAGTTTGTTGAATACTTGCCAAGCAATCCAACGAAAGCAATCAGACAAAGATTCTAACAGGCTGTGCAAACTTAGATAAGAGCGGCTGAAAACTCAGATTCCAATAAGAATCTCGTTCCTCAACCATTTCCAGCTCAAACTTGACATGCACGACCCGTTCTTCTACAGTAAGAAACTCCGCCCTTATGCTCGAGCATTGTGACATGCTACTTAGGTGTTCAAGAGTAGAACCGGGTTTCATTTACTAGATCGCATACCTCCGTTTGAACCACAGCAAACCGAGGACACCACCGATTCCCAGATCCTCGGTAATGACTTGACTGATCGGAATACCGGCGAACAGCAACTCCGAGCCACGATCATCACAGATGGTTGAGGTAAATGCAGCCGGACGACGGATAAGTCCAAGTTCCTAGAAAGTTTGGAACAAAATCATAACCCAGTAACACCCATCCAGTGAACAGACGATAGAATCAGGCGGGTATTTGAAAAAGCCGAATTTCCTCACAATCCGAAAAGAAGAATCAACTAACATCGAGATATTCGAAGGAGAATCAAGCATACGATTGCAAGGAGACTAGGAGAAGCGTCACCAATTAGCAAAGTGAGCTAACTAATCATCCATGGGGAACGCGCGAGGCTTCGGAGAAGCCGCAACTGTCAATCAGTTTGAGAAATAAAAAATATGGATTGGCATAGAAAGATGAGAAATGCTTCCGCAAATCATTCGAATGCCCAAACAGAGACTCAAGAAGGCGNAATGAATAATGTTGCCCAATCTAGAAAAGATCGCCCTCTAAAGAGACACTCATTATAGGTTCATTGAGTGTGAGAGTGAAATCCGAGAGAACGCTGCCCTTTCAGATGGTCTACCTACGGGAATTCATTTTCAAGGAAGGTGAACGCCGCTGTAGGGACAAGTTACTTAGTAGTTCGCACGAATAATCAAAAGAAGCGTCCACATAATACTTTAGCGTACGAAAGTATGGTATCTGGCCGCACTGAGAGCAACAATCAACCAAACGAAGAGTTAATGATTAGGGGGAAATTACATACAACGAAGCCCCGGCGACAAAAGAAACCTCAAGCGCTAATTCCTGTAAAAAAGAACGTTGTTTGGCGGCGAGAAAAATGCCCGAAGATATTGCCAGTGGCTTTCTGAACATATTCTAAAATGTCACTCTTAAAGGATGTGCTGATATTTATCCATTTCCTGCCAGTAAGACTGCACTCAAGTAGTCCGTTGGGAACCCAGGGTTACCTTGATTATTAGTTAGTTAGTTCCCAACAGAATACGGAGCCGAGCTCCAAGTAGTCACGAAAGCTGCCGGAGCTACACTTGAGCCAGAAGAATTTTCTGATATTGCAGGTTAGTGGCTAGCTACCATCCAACCATCCGAGATGTGAGAACTTCTGCAGCAGTGATCATGATGCCGCAGTGATAACAGCGAGGCGAGTGTATGACCTTACGTCCCACAGACAACAAGAATAAGATTTTCCGGAGTTGGCTGGGTTTTTTCAAAAGCATCACGCCTTCAACAAGGAAACTGGATTTCTCCAGCCGCATAGTTCAAATATGGGACCAGTTTGTTGAATAGTTGCCAAGCAATCCAACGAAAGCAATCAGACAAAGATCCTAACAGGCTGTGCAAACTTAGATAAGAGCGGCTGAAAACTCAGATTCCAATAAGAATCTCGTTCCTCAACCATTTCCAGCTCAAACTTGACATGCACGACCCGTTCTTCTACAGTAAGAAACTCCGCCCTTATGCTCGAGCATTGTGACATGCTACTTAGGTGTTTAAGAGTAGAACCGGGTTTCATTTACTAGATCGCATACCTCCGTTTGAACCACAGCAAACCGAGGACACCACCGATTCCCAGATCCTCGGTAATGACTTGACTGATCGGAATACCGGCGAACAGCAACTCCGAGCCACGATCATCACAGATGGTTGAGGTAAATGCAGCCGGACGACGGATAAGTCCAAGTTCCTAGAAAGTTTGAAACAAAATCATAACCCAGTAACACCCATCCAGTGAACAGACGATAGAATCAGGCGGGTATTTGAAAAAGCCGAATTTCCTCACAATCCGAAAAGAAGAATCAACTAACATCGAGATATTCGAAGGAGAATCAAGCATACGATTGCAAGGAGACTAGGAGAAGCGTCACCAATTAGCAAAGTGAGCTAACTAATCATCCATGGGGAACGCGCGAGGCTTCGGAGAAGCCGCAACTGTCAATCAGTTTGAGAAATAAAAAATATGGATTGGCATAGAAAGATGAGAATTGCTTCCGCAAAACCATTCGAATGCCCAAACAGAGACGCAAGAAGGCGACTGGACAAACCAGTGCGACTCAAGAACCTTTAGGTGACTGCCACGTATCGAGTGATCATGGCAACACTTGGCTCCATAACAGAAACGCAGCCCACACTCTTGCCAAACGCTAAATGGATGCTGAAAGGATAAGGTCCCTTTCAGAAAACAAAATGCCCTATGTAGCACACATCGAATAGGTTGTAATCCACGGAGAGCCCAACGCCAACACAGACTCGGATGTGGCAACCCCATCAGCTTCACATCACACAACACAGCTAGCAATGATTGGTTCACGGTCGTGGAGCACCGTGGACAGTATTCTTTGGTGCGTGCCGCTTGTCATTTTGGTCGAGTTCTTCGTGAGCCGCCCTGCCTACGGGTCTTTGGCTCACTAGGTTCCTCTCCATTTAATTTGGGAAAACTGTTGCGAAATGCCTTTGAAATATCACTGCCATAGGCGGATAGTACAACAGCAGCAAGTGAAACCGGAAACGCGGAGGAATGGAGACTAGTCAAAGTGCCATTGGACGAAATGTAAAGAGAGATGAAAGCACCCACACCTTCGAACGGAATTCGAGTAAACAGATCTGACCTTCCTAGTGGAGTAAGACGTTGTCAGTGGGTTACCATGCTCACCAAAACAAGTCCAGTATACGTCAGACAAACTGTGGATAGTCGTACTAAGTACCACTGCAGGGATTCCGGCCACTTTCGAGGAAATCATATAAACCCCATCCATAGGGCGGGAAGACCCCACCGCAGGCAGGTGTACAATAGAAGCCTTCGGTTCGTGATGTGATGTCATAGTTTGTACTTATTTGTCTTTGAAGTACATATGATTCCACGCCATCGAAATGGAGCCAAAACGAACATTAATTGGCTGTCAGATTATGTACATGGTGGCTACGTGGTTAGAGCGTGAGCGCACTGAACTGCAGGTCCGTGGTTCGACCCAGACCTCTGCCTCTCGACTTTCTCTGTCTAGGCTTTAACAAATTGGCAGTATCCCAGCCCTCGTGCATGGCAGCTAGGCACCGAAAGAGTGCTAGGGCTGAACGGTAACCTGGTACCCATGACTTTGATGAAGTATATTTCACTACTCCAAAAGATCCAAGTGAAAATAATGTTCATGAAACCGGTCTATTTGATGAACGTTTCTCAAAGCGACCAAATATTTTGCTGAATCAAGTGACAGCTGGACCCTAGTTCTCACTTACACCAGTTGGCTAGACGGGAAAGCAATGGGTTGGATCGTTTCAACTGTGGTAGCAGCGGTATCCACATGAGAATAGTTACAAGGCCAAATTAAACTCATATTGAAACGAGCTGTGGTCATCCATCTAGCTTTTTGAAGCGTAGACTAACTCCTGACCCACGATTATTTTTGGATGACACAAGGGAACGAAAACGGTGAAATCAAGTTCTTCGCTTTGCCAATCAATTGCGTTAATCCATCCAGCTCACCAGCGCTCTCTCTGTACGAGACAAAGGCATCTCGTTGGGAACAAAATGAATCCTGCGAGTCAACTCAACATTTGGCGAAAAACACACTTTTTACTGGAAAACAACAAACAAGCAATTGACATGCGACAAGGGAAGACATAATCAAGAAGCACTGAAAACAAGATAAAACATCCGGGAAAATCAATGAACGTACAGGGCTTTTGTTTAAACATCGATTCTCCGTGACCCATCGACCTTTCGGTCAGAAGGAAAATAATAAACGGGATAAGAATCCAAAATTGTGATCGGAGCAACACCGTGAAATATTAGTCTGAGATAAGCAAGGTTGAACTGTAGTCACATACGAATTCGTCAGAGCTAGAAAACCTTGAACAAGAAGGGAATCGCAGTTTTACACGACTATATAGCAAGCTAATCTTGTCTCGTGAAACCAGTTGCATCACTTTCCAAAGCGTTAATAGCCTCTCTTTGCAAAGTCTTCGAATGTTCGTCTTTGTGGGTGATGAAACAGACTCAAGATTGGGGACCGTATTTGGTTCTGGATTGTTCAGGTGTTCAGATTGAAGATCAAGACGAGTCAGATCCCGCATAAGTGCGAGAGCCTACGTAAGAGTCCAAGAACGGGGTGAAAAAAATTGTCTGTCCAGATCCACTTTCGAACTCTTTTGATGGAGCAGACATGCTAAATCGAAGACATTGAAAGACTAATCACATTCTCATCTACTTGAAAAAGGACAAACAATTACCTTTGCCCAAGAATAGTCCAGAGGGACAGGACGGGGTTTTGTGTCCGGTTTTGGAGCCCATTTGCCAGATTGCACCAGATTATCGAATACTTGTCTGTGAGAAAGCAACAGCAAGCAATGGGGTATTTATGTGACTTTACAAAAACGTGGAACATATTAAATTCAGAAATAAAAAGTGGCGAGAACGCATGTACAAGCAACATGAGAGCGGGGACCCAAGACAGATTTGTCGCAGCTTAGTGTGCAGTAAAACGGCAGAAGTTGCTTGTACAAGCATCAACATAGTCAACCCCATGCGACGATTAATGAATTCCCCTCGGAAAAGCACTTGTGAGGTGACGGATGTGGGCAACTGAAAGATGGAGAGCAATCTCAGTTTGTTGGCTTTCTTGTGAGAGATGAGAATACAGGAACCCATATCCGAGTAGAAGCATGGTAATGAGGCAGAATCTCGTTCAGCTGTAACATCCTTTCAGTGTCCAGCTGACATGCCACCCGAAGGAGGGCTGGGATACGGCCAGGTTACCGAAGCCTAGACAGGGGAAGTCGAGATGCAAAGGTCGGGTTCAAACCACGGACCTTCCGATCAGTAAATCTGCTCTTTAACTACTGAGCCCTCTCGCTACGCCCAAAGCAATATTCTTGGGTTTCAATGACACCATCGTCCTTAACTTCAAAGCATACACCAGCGATACATGCTGGTACTTATATGCTGAGGAGTTTTCAGCAACCTTGTGAGTAGTTTATTTTAGGACATGTTGGCGATTTGTGTGATTTCCAAAGAAAAGGACAGGAATATGAGGAATCTGACCCAAACACCAATAGGAATAAATTTTCAACACTGACCTTATGACTGCATCAAGGTTATCAAAACTGGAGGGCACATGAACACCCGCAGCGGACAATGCGGCATTTTTCGCTGTGGCTGTTTCACGAATCGAGTTGGCACAAGCACCAGCATGTCCGAACTGAATGCTCTCCGCAGATCCGGCGAGAAGTTGAGCACATGTTCCGATACACCAAGCGACTACCGGTTTGCGAATTCGACCTGACTTGACGGCTTCAGCAATGGCATACTCCTCTATTCCACCAACCTGGCAGTCGAAAGTAGAAAATATTTGTGGATGTGAGAGGATACAACAGCGCAGTGCAACCAGAAAAAATGGACGAAAAGAACAAAAGCCGAAGAGAACTGAACATCAAAGCGAATACACGTAAATGAGACATGATGAACCTGGCCGAAACACCTAATGGACAGCAACTATCAAAACACATTAATTGTGGTGTTCCCCACCGTACCTGGTCCTGAACGTTTCATATGCATCCCATTCCGTCCAAACGGTTTCACTATATAAGGATGTAGGGGCGAGATGGCTGAACGCTTAAAGCACGAATTCATTGAACGCAAGGTTCGTGGTTCGAACCCAACTTCTTCTTCTCGACTTCTTCTGTCTAGGCTTGAACACACTGGCAGTATTTCAGTCCTCGTGCTTCCTTCAGGTGGCATGGCAGCTAGGCAGCGAAAGGGTGTTACAGTTGAACGACTATCCCCTTTATTTGTTATTTATTGCCACAAGGATGTGACACTTGTTGACGACTAGAGTAGCGCCTGACAATACAGTTACTACTGTCGCGTCACCTACTGATTATTTAAACTGAAATATCAGTCTTCTGAGGAAAGACGCCATCATGACAAAGCTCGCAGAACAATCCAGAAGAGCCCCCTACCGGCCGCATTCCTTTGAGGAGACCTTGTTCCAAAATTTACATCAACGTCAGTCAGTACTTGAACTCGATCACCTCATTGAGCAACACCGATCCGGTTAAGTTTGAGAAAGCTACGACAGTGCAGTATCGCTCAAAATTGAAAAAAATCTTCCAGCTCAGTGCCTAGCTGCCATGCTACCCGGCACAAGCACGAGGGCTGGGATAGTGCCAGGATGTCCAAGCCTAGACAGGAGAAGTCGAGATGCAGAGGGGTCGGGTCCGAACCACAGACCTTCCGGTCACTGCGCTTGCGCTCTAACCACTGAGCCATCTAGCCCTCCATCGCCCCTAATGTGTACCACTGGTTTGAATAAACGAGGTAGGAAAATGGTCTCCATCGACAAAAACACATCAGTAATAAATGAAGACGCCGCACATCCATTGGACAAGACCATTGCAAAAGAAACGGGAGGATGTGGGGAATTGGTGTGAAAAATCCCATTCCAGTAATCAAGACGCCTATACCCTCGAAAAGCAAGATACAAACAAGTCTGAGCATAATATCAGACTGAGATATCACCCATGGAACTGGCCTAAAATCCCTTACAAATCTCACCCAATCGCAGGACAGTAATGAACAACCTGATAGGCAGTATCAAGCTAAGAATACCATGCTGACTGAAACATGTGTTCTTGTACAAGACATTCAGTTGGACAAACGAAGGACTCAGCTTAGTGTCTCGTTTGCCACTTGCGTGCAGTTCGATACCCAAGCGAAAAATAAGGTTGACGGAAACTCCGGGACTATGCCTACCGGATGGACCTCAAGGAAAGTGAAACGACTAGCGAGCAATCCAAGAGCTTTTAGCAACTCAAAAGTGGTGCTTTGCCAAGAAGACAATAGATAAGCCTTAGCTAGGCGAGAGCACAATCGCCACTGAGAGAGGTTGGACTTCCAGCCACAATGAAGGATTACCATGTGGAACTCAACCACTGATGCGCGACTACCCCATAGTTATGCAGTAGCTGCTTTCACTTGACGTTTTCATGTCTTTCCCTCCCCATCGAGAGCATTCTTCATCAGGTGCTCCGAAGAGCAAACTCGTCGAAAAAACCGTTCAGCTGTAGCACTCTTTCGGTGCCGAGCTGCCATGCAACAGGGAGGGGGCATGAGGGCTGGGATTCTGGCAGGTTGACCAAGCCTAGACAGGGGAAGTCGAGAGGCAGAGGTCGGATTCGAACCGTGGTAACTAACGCCCGTAGACGGCGGTTATGGTTGACTGGACCGAATAGAGGATAAAGGTACAGAACCCGATGGGTAATTAAACTGTTGTTGCAAATACTCTACCAGGCGACCTAGATTTTAAATACTATCATCCAGAAACTCGTTTACAGGTGGTGTTTCGGGTGCTGCATTGCATTCTGTGTACCCCTTCCGCATTTGAACACGCCCTCTCCATTTGAAATGACGCCAAACGGACCGTCCAGCCGAATAATGCTCCAAACGTGAAGAGGTAAAACCGTCCTGAGGTGCTTAGCGTGTACGCACACGAAAATGTCACATCCCGAGTTTCTAGTATCATGCGATTTCTGTACGTTACCGCATTTGATATGATATACACGGAGGTTACAGCATATGATGCTTTCTACGGAAGTGGTACACAAAGTACATTTGTTCAACTCAAAGTAGAGAAAACTCTTTGGACGCCAGACGGAAAGTTTGTTTCTTAGGTTTATCCGGTAAGTATAACGAAGACTTACACCGAACAAAGATATGATCCAAACTAATACACGCATTCCAGAAGGATTAGCGGTATAATACTGAACACTACCACCGACAGCTGTACGATGAACCTGGCTTCGAACTGTTGGTAGCTCGGGTGAGTTCATTGGTTGTTGAGCAGCGGGCCGTTGATTTGCTCGCCGAACTTGGTAACTGACTTGCAAACGTTTGGTCACCATACGAGGAGACACTATCACTGCATGCTGATGATGGTTCTTTATACGGCGAGTAGAGAATATCTTCGAAAAACGGGGACTTGGATATTCCCCCCCCCCCCCCCCCAAAAAAAAAAAAAAAAAAAAACCCATCTCCAGAAAAGGGGGGAGAAAANGGTAGATGACGCGGTTTTTCGATCACGGCTGCTGAATGAGAGACGGAGTTTTGAGGGAACGGGAAGAACACTAGTTGTTGGGGTGAAGTTGGAGTTAACCCGTTTTTCTTTCAACTCCGACTAAACATGTAAAACGATAGATCAAACGTCCATGAAGGAATACTACAGCATACTTATAGGGAAGGTTCGTGCTTTAAATCAGCCAGCAGATTGGAGATGCTCACTGATGATGATGATTTCTAACAAGAATAAATGTCACAATGTCTCCAGGATGTTTAGCAGAGGTTGACTCTGCTTTAGACGACAAAACCCATACTTGACATTCCCAGATGCTCGAGCTATTCAGAGGAACAATAACTTACCTCGCCCAGGAGCACAATCATAGCGACCTGCGGGTTCGCTTCGAAGCGTAACACATGATCCAAGAACGTACTGCCGGGATACCGATCACCTCCTATGGCAACTCCTTCTTCCACACCATCGGAATTTTTACTGATGATATTGTTCAGTTCATTGGACATTCCACCCGAACGTGAAACATAGGCGACACTAGAAGGCAAAGAGGCATAAACGGCAAGATGGCAAGTGAAACTGGCTACTAATGAGCATAGTTCACGCTGGATGACTATTCGCAGAGCGACTGCAGACAGCTGCATTTGGATAACGTTGTATCAGTCGGACCTAGTGCGACAACGAGTACATAAAGCAGGCCGACGCATTATGGACCTTGATTGGCAAACGAAATCCCGACGTAAGAAATGGGTAACTGCCGTATTCAGACCAGCTACATGGGGGAGGAATGGTACAGAAAAGCAGGTAGTCAAGTAGTAATGGTTCAGCATAAGTATCGGCAGCATACCTGATGAAGTAACCAAACTCCACGGATCATGGACACGAGAATGCATGCAGAAGAAATATCATATGCCAGATAAAACACCATTCCCTTCGGTTCGAATATATATATATATATATATATATATTGTTCCGTGCCTCCTTCGTGTGGCATGGCAGCTGGATACCAAAAGGGTGCTGCACCTAGACGATTTTTTAAGGTGCCCAACTGCTATGCCACTCGAAGGTTGCACGAGGGCTGGGATACTGCCCCGTTGCACAAGCCTGGAGAGTGGAAGTCGAGAGGCAGAGATCGGGTTCGAACCACGGACCTTCCAGTCAGTAAATTGACGCTCCAACCATCTCCAGCTATCTCGCCCCCAAATACAGATGGGCTAAAAACCACTTTCATTTCAGAACATGGAATTCCAAGTACTAGTAGACCAATAGAGAGTGGGTCACGTGAGCCACAAAATAGAAATACTGCAGTATACTCGTGTGCACTTGGATTTGTATGAAACGATCAGACAAAGCAAGCAAGAGGATATCTCACCCTGGAATGCAGTATCTTCAAAGTACTATCTTCTATTGGCTCGGGGACGAACCCAACGTTCGCTCTCCTTCCATCCCGAATGGATCACACGGCAATAGCCGTTACACTCAAAGGCAACAATCGTCAGAAGAGACGAATGGGTCTAAATGCTTAGAGATACAGTTTCGATCGTTTTGTGACGACTGACACAGAATATGCACCGGATAAAGTTGAAAACCTCAAACAATTCAAACAAACTTATTTGGAAGAACCGGAAAACATTGTGCAGCTGTACCCTACTCGGTGAGAAGCATTAGCAAGGCCAAAGCTGTCTAAACCAGTGATGGCTCATATGGCTAACTATCTGGAGCTTGGGTTCGCATATCTAAAAGGAATAGACCCGACGTTTCTTTGAAAGGATTGAACCTGTTATCAAAATGGTCTGGGGAACAACTCACCTTCCCGGGCGATATAGTCGTGTGGACAGAATGTTATCAACCATACCACCGGTATTACCGATTTTGAAACAACCGGCTTTCACACCTCCAACCTTTAGGTGGAACAGAGAAACAGAACAATGAAATATCAAGAACACCGAAACACTGTTTTTCAACTCAAATGGGGCGAAAGGGCACCACAGTTTTGTGTATTAAAATGGGAAATTCGAAACCATGAGCCTAGTAGGTGGAACCGGTTGTGCAGATTATTTTGTCAATCGGGACACAGCATGTTAGTGAAACGACAATGGCCATAAAAGATACTGCATAAAAAGATACTACATAAAAAAGATACTACATAATAACAACTGCAACCGACGCACGGCTATGAAATGACCCAATCATGACCGCTACCAGCCAAAAGTTTCCCGAACACTTCCAAATGTAGGTCACAGAAGCCCAACGTCCAATACGAGGAGTTAGTCACACACACACACATCACAAGGATAAGTGACGAGATGGACCCTGAAAGTATCGTTATCGGGGCGCTCCACACAGGCCGCGAAAAACGTTAGCTGCACAATCTAGGTTGCAAAAAAGTGGTCTCCGTTGATAATCGAACTGGGCACTAATTAATGCTTACTAGGCAACCGAAGAAGTGGCTATGTGTTTCAGAAGAGCTTGGTAAACAATCGGCAGTTTTTATTTGGGCAACGTTTCGCTTTTGACACAAAAGCTTCATCAGGCTAAGTGAACAGGTCACCAAATTTGCCAGGTTACAAGACACACGGGGAACCAATCAGTAAGTTCTCTTCAGAGTGTCACAATGGATCACACTTGATAGCCGGGGCGGTAGAAATCGCCAAGCGTCCCAGTGTTAACAGAAAAGAAGGCGTGGAACTGGCAAGCGTGTGGAGAACGGTCTTGGGCCACTCGAGCCATGTGTTGGTGTGCAATTATCAGAGGGAAGAGTAGTGGTCATCTGGTTTCCACTTAACCTTACCCACCTCCCCCCCCCAATTAAATTGTCGCAACATTCCGATGGCCACAAAGACCAAAGAAAATCTACCAGTGACACCCAAGGTCGATCATCAATTGAAGCACCCTTTAGTGGAAGATTAAGGAACGAAAAGCGATCGGAACTAATTTGAAACTTGTCCAACCCATCAATTCAAGATTTTGGCAACCACACTAAACGATGATCTAGTGTGAAGAGGACCTACTGATCGGTTCTCCGTCTGTCTTATAACCTGGCCAATTTGGTGACCTGTTCACTTGGCCTAATGAAGCTTTTGTGTTGAAAGCGAAGTGTTGCCCGAATAAAAACTACCGATTGTCCACGATCGGTAACGCTGGCTTCTCAATCGGTTCCAAATCTTTTCCAAGTGGCTATGTGACTTAAATTAGGAAAATGGTTATAACAACCCAACACAGGTGGTGATGGGAATATGTACGCGTCATGTGTAGGCGACAGGATATACTGACAAAGAGGAAAAAGTGGCGTGTTCCTATTAGAATCGTATAAAACGATAAATAAGTTAAAAATTACACGAAATGTTCCTGCATGTTACCGATCAGGTGTTGATTTCAAAGGGACACAATGGTCTACGGACTGTGTACTACGGCCCAACGCAGCCGGACGAACAACACCTGATCGCCACTCGCTGCCTAACAGAACCCAACGATCCGCACAGCCGGATGAACAACACCTGATCGTCACTCGCTGCCTAACAGAACCCAACGATCCTGTACCATGCTCGTGCTCCTTCAAGATGGAAAGGACTTGGTAAATTCTGAAACACCGGTGGTCAGAGTTCACTCACAAGTGCATCCATTCGTCCATAGCCCGTGTACCTGGACGTGGCACATTCACGGCAAACTTTCTTACATGGTTGTAGTGAGTATTCAGTGAGTGCTACCGAAAAACGGCCGACATAAACTCAAAATCGAAGCTACGAAACTTGCGTCATCCTCTGGGGGGTTACTGAGATGAATTCTAGTCAGCCGATATCTCCCTGAGGAGTTCCCCCAACCAATGTGGTACATACTAAGGGCATTTATAAGTTTGGAGTATCAGGATAGTGGTATTCTTAAAAGAAGGAAATGACAGTCAAACGATGCTGTCCCTCAAGACACCCCTCCGAAAAAGACCACTATCCTTGAGAGTGGCCTGTCAGCCCCCAAAATAAGTACACCAAGCCTCTAGAAAGGATCCGATATGTTTTACAAAACAGCGATCTTTCTTACTACCCTAATTGCGGGAACAGCGAACAATAGTCGGACAACCAAATGCACTTTAAAAACCGGAAAATACTCAGCGTATGTCACGTAATGTTTCGTACGGTTGCCGGACCAATGATGAGGACATTTCGCTGCTTGGCTCGACAGATCAAACGACGTGTCATTTGTTCCGGTATACCCTCCGCGATGATGGCAATACATTTGAATTGGGATCCATTTGACAAGCCATTGCATGAACCGTTTTGATTCGTTGTTGGCCCAACGGGATCGAGAGATATTGCCTCCATGGTAACATCGTAGGCCACCCGAAGCGAACCGAAATTGATCAAGATTTCAGCATCCGGTGAACTCGTGCTGGCTTCAATCAAAGTCTTGTAGACAGGGAGGAAGATTTCACTGGAACCCCAATAGACTTTGACATTGTGTGGGTCACTGTTGGGAGAGGGCAGAAGAAAAACCGCAAATGCATGGTGTTTCAAAAACATGCATGATTCGCGAGTCAGATCAAGGGACCACGATGTGAAATCGATCATATTAGGGAAAACGTCTCCATTGGAAGAACATAAATGTAGTATAAACGAGCAGCTCAAAGGTGAATTCGACTGTCTGAAACGAAACCGATGTGACTGTGCCTTTCCAAGTGGAACTACACTTGCCCATAGGTGGTACGGAGATAAACAGTTACATCATCCCTACAAAACCGAGGGTTTTTTTAAAAAAAGAACCAGTCTTCCAAATGTGCGCCACACACACACACACTAGGAAAAGTAACAGCTAGGGACTTCGATTAAGCAGACCAAATAAGCCGAGTGGGGGGCAGTGTTGCTCAGTGATTGGGACGGACTGACAAATATTTTGCCCCCCCCCCCAACAAACACACAGAACTTCCAGCAATCCAATCAGCATCGAAAGTGTAAAGGATAGGCATACAACCGTGAACCAAAACAAACTACTGTCGAAGGGACTTACTTAGATATTCAGCTACCGTATAGCCAGTCGGTCAGTCATATAGCCAGATAACGGCTACGTTAGTGTTCATTTTAATGAAATCTCATTATTTATTTTACATTGAATATTATAGAAAGGTGCTGTTCGCTCTGCTATGGGACGTGTGGAGAATATACACCTAATCGAAATTGAGAAACAGCGACCTGGGCGCAGCCAAAGAACCTAGCCCTAGAACCATTCACATGGTCTGTGCCTATAAAAAGCCATTTGGGAGAAAACTCCCTCAGCTTTCTTGTCCTTAGGATTCCTTGAAACCAACATAGATTGTCCATGATTCATATCTACCGATAACATTTACCTACCCCGTGCGTGCTCATCATCATCAGTATCAAAGACAGCAACATCAGTGTTAGCACTGATACTTCACTGCCGTACAACCGCAAGGTTCGTCTAGTTTAACTCTTCGTGATCTCTTTCGCGCCTTTCTGCCAAGTCATGTGCTGTCCACCTCGTGCTTTGCGCTATTCTGAAGGAGGCACGGAGAACAACACCCGTCTCGGTAGACGATGTTTTGGCATGCGTAGCACATGACCGAGCCATCGCAGTCGATGACGGTGGATGTTTTCCCCAACTGAAGTACCTGAAACACAATCAAATACCCGTTTTCTAATCAATTCGTTACTATCAGGCTGACGCCACCCAAAACCAGCCACGCTTCTGAGGCATCGGTGATCGAAAACCTGAAGACGCCTCACATCATCCGTGTGCAGAGGCCATGTCTCGCACCCATACTGTAGCTTGGTGCACACGGCCCTTAAGATCCAGTGAGATGCCATTTTGACGCCACAAGTGACGCAAATTAGCGAACGTGATTCGAGCCTTTGAGATTGTTGCACTGACTTCATCAGACACGCTTCCGTCAAAGCTAATACAACTACCGAGGTACGTAAAGTTTTCCACAATCTCCAGTGATTCTCTCTGAATTGTAAGGGATATGTTCGCTGGCTGCTTGAACGTGCCATGTTGCAACTGACGTTTGAATGCCGTAGACCACCGGGTTTTTGCTCGCAGCGGTCGATAACACGGTCAATGAGGAGAAAATCTCGAGCATCGATCGGTGTTAACGCTGTGCATGAGTACTAGACTCATGATATCCTGATTCGTGTCCCAGATCACCGAGTTCCTATTACAATTGATTTGTTCACTAGTTGTAAACCAATTCATTACCGGAAAAAAGTTGGGTGGAGGACCTCAAAAGAAGTGACCCAGGAAAGCTTACAAGATTTCAAATGATTATCAGTAATTCGGCCTACAGACTCATCATCATCATTATGGACAGCACGATATTAGTGTTCAACACTGATGCTTCGCTGCTGTACAAAGTAAACGTTTCGCGTTCGGAGAAGACCTGAACCCATTTAACCTGCTGTCCTATGATGCACTTCCGCCACGAAGAGACTGGACCTTACCGTGGTGTGACGGTTTGCGTACCTCAGCGATCCATTGAGCTATAGTGGGGAGTGTCCCCGTGACACTCACAGAGTCTCTCATACCAGGTTGGTCAATAGTTGGAGGTCTGACGAACACAGTCTCCCGGCCCTAAGGTTGGGGGTTGGAACATGTTGTGACCTAGAAATGGTAATGCATTTGCATTTCCCGTCAGACACCGCTGCCTTGCGGTTAGGCTTTGGTTGAGGACTCCAAATAGTTGGAGTCTGACGAACACAGTCTCCCGGCCCTAAGGTTGGGGGTTGGAACATGTTGTGACCTAGAAATGGTAATGCATTTGCATTTCCCGTCAGACACCGCTGCCTTGCGGTTAGGCTTTGGTTGAGGACTCCATTCGTCTTCCTGTCTAGGTGTGGGCGCCCGGACAGTATCCCAGCTCTCGTACAACCACGACATTCACGATGATGATGCACTCAATACTAAACCAATCATCGATGACATATGACCACAAGGTGCTCCCTACGCACAACAAACGCCTCTGTAGAAACATCTTTTCCGATAAAGGATGTTGGTTGGTCAACAGGTGGAATAACAGATTTTCCAAAAGGTGATCACTTCTCTAAAACGACACAGGTTTTCTCGCTTTTTAAGCTGGATAAGATGACATCCAAACCAAGCCTCCGCCCAAAAGTCAAACCACTGCTACACATCATAAAATTCGCCTGTTTTTTAAACAGCTCAAACAAGGAACTCTCATGTGAACCCTCCGACCAAGTTAAATTTTTTGACTGAAACTGTCTTCCGAGCAGCGTTTAGTGGGGACCCAATAATCATGGAAAAAAGAGCCGCTTTTAAGAGGGCTTTTAGAAAATATAATTCGGCTTCAAAAACAGACATTTTTGAGTTGCCAGGCTGGTCGCAAAAAAAGACGTAAACAAGTAGTAAACGAAACGAAGAAGATGGCAGTGGGTGCGCAACCACAGGTAGCTAACTTGTCGGTACATCTCCACGCCGAATTGAAAAATTAGCCTAGATGTGTGAGATCTCAAGAAACAGGGTTTTTGAACGCTGTGTTCGAACCTGACTTCTCCATCTCGACTTCTCCTTTCCAGGCTTGGGCAACCTTGCAGTATCACAGCACACGTTCTTCCTTCGAGTGGCATGGCAGCGAAAGGATGTTCAGTAGAACGGCTTTTTTAGGCGAACAGACGTTACCCAGCTTCAACCTAAGCACGATGCTCGATAGACAACAATCGCTCAGATGTAATACCCGTTCGGTGAATAGCTGACATGCTACCCGAAGGAAGCATGAGGGCTGAGATACCGTCAGGTTACACAGGAGCAGTTGAGATGCTGAGGTTGGGTTCGAACCACGGACCTTCTGATCAGAAAGTATAGGTCCTAACCACTGAGCTCTCTCGAGCTCTAATAAGAAGAAGGGGGATTTGACAGATCTTGGGTTGAGAACTTGAGTACGAATGGCATGGGTGAAAGTGAATATTCTGGGGTGAATTTGAGCCGTACCAGTAACCGGGACCTATCGAGAGTGATTTCGGACGACTTCATTGCAGCGTGAAACATTTAAAACAGACACTGTAGGGAATTTCACAACTGTATTGTTCCGCGATCTTTATCTTTATCACAGATAAAAGCGAACTACCAAATGTCGACGTGTTAACCTAACTTGACCCGACCGCGTGCGAGAGCGGCCAAAGTGTTAGCGCTTGTGATCAATGGTCCTTTTAGAAGGGTCATACCCTTCGGACAAGCCCCAGGGAATTGGACCCTGGTAGGCTCTTCCTCTAGTGGTAGGACTGTATAGTCTTTGATACAAAAATGGACAGGACTGTGTTTGGAACGACACACAATAAGCGAAATTTCTACAAAGAGCCTTATTATTTAATATGTGTAAACCATGTACTCTCTGAAGATGCTTTGAACTCAGTTAAGTCTAGCTCCACGATACACTTTATTGATTTGGTCATTGCATCGATCGTTCATTATGCGACTTACTTAGGTAACCGCATTTATGCCACACAAAAAAACAGTAAAAAGAACTTTCTCAGCCCGCGCCCATTTTCCGGACAGATCTGGGATCAGTTAGCGAGCGAATGAAGCTGTTTAACCGTTGCTCACTTGTGAAGCTTGGCTGATTTCAGTGTTGTGAACGTGGGCTACGTAGAAAGCTGCGTTTCAAACGCTTGTTTAACAACAATATTTAAGGATTAAGAAGTCATCCAGGTTGCAGCTTGTACTTGGGCTGTATCTATCGATGCACTATAATTGTGTGCAAGTCTTTGAGAATTCCGAGAACGAATAAGTGGACTGACGGATCTTCCGGAAACGATTATCGATTTTTGAAAAAAGTGTTCCCAGACATACATAATGCAACCAAAAAAACAGTCCTGGAATGGGAATTTAACCCGCAACTTCTTCCTTTCCTGCTCTGTGCTCTATCAACTGAGTTACCGCGGACGCTTGTGGAGCACTCACCCGGTAGGCGAGAGGTCGGGGGTTCGAGTCCCATTTAGGGACTGTCCTCTCGGTTGCATTTTGTGTTTGGCTCCGTGTTCAAGTTTTTCCGAATTCCCACTCGTTTTATGTCGACTTGCTTGACACCATACACTCGGTGCCTCCGTTTAGCGTGGACCTCTTCCATAGTGTAGCATTGTCTAGATTCCAGAACCGGGCCTTTTTAGACACAATTCAGTCATTACTGCTTCTCCACGTTTCTCTACGCAGGTTAGCGGTAGTTCTACGTCTCCGACCACAAACTCTGCCACTCCTCGGATCACGTCAAGCGCATTGTCACAAGCTCTCGCATCCGTGCCATCTCTCACTGCCCGTCAGAACCAACCAGGAGTACAAGCCCCATCAGTCCCAACAGTCATCATAGAGGGAGACATAACAAGGGGGTATGTTACGTGAGAGAAGGAGCACTGTACAACGGAAAATGTAGGCATGTTCGACACAGCACAGATGAGACATCAGAACTGAAATACCCGTTGTTCTAATTGAGCATTCACCTCTACGGGGTCGTATGGCTCGGCAGCGCACGTGCACTTTAGGACTGGGCAGCTGAATGAGTTGTCATTCAGGACAGGCACGAAACACTTGAAGATAACCTAGAGAACGAATCTCTTCAATTTTTATAGGTCTTCTTAGATTTTGACGCAACTGTCACCAGCATCAGCTGAATATTGTTCGAACATGCACACCGATAAATGTATGGAAAAAGATAGTGAAAATGACTGCCGTTGATCACCATTCAGTTCGTTTGCCATTTTGGGAGAAAGTGAAGACCAATGGGAGTAGTTGAAGGTTTTCCACGGTGAGATAATGTCTTCCACTAGGCACTTCCAACATTAGCCTCAGTTTCCAGAAAGCAAACAGAGTAGGCAGAAGCGAGCACGAGGGCTGGGATACTGCCAGGTCGCACAATCCTAGACAGGGGAAGTCGACAGGCAGAAGTCGGGTTCGAACCACGGATCATCGAATCAGTAAATCCGCGCTCTAATCACTGAGCTATTTTGCCCCCACTTCAGAGGTAATTCCCTAGAACAGGCAGTCATTCCCCAACTAAAATACCGAGATATCAAGCTAGGATTCGTAAACGCAAACCAGATGTGATTCGTTTGAAAATGGCAGAGTTCACAACGTCGATATTTGTATTACACCAACTACAATCGGTACTGGCTGTTCCGATGAGTTGACTTACGGTAGTATCGCAATTTCCAGCTGTTGCGCTCATCAATGCTTCTGTTCCCGTTTTCTGGTCAAAGTTTGATGAAACGATGGAACGTAGACCGAAGGCCATAGAAACAATGGCAGTCATGTGTGTCTCAGGACCAAACACATGGATAGGTATCCCTAAAGTAACACCTGTCAAGAGACCAGAAATTTTGCATTAGATAGCATTATTGGAACTTTTATTCATTTATCATAATACTCGAAAGAACTTGTGGATAGTGCACGAAAAAAACACCACCCCCCGAAAAGTACAAAATGTGCCGGATAAAGCGTAAACATAGTACACCCGTCGGACAATGTGGTGCACACGCTTGCAAAATCGATCTCGGAGGATTATATATTCATGTGGCGTTGGAGTAATAATTGGTTTTGGCGACCACAATATAGCCGACTACTGGTCTGCACCCACGTACAGGGAGGCCCGATGGGGCAATGTATTAGAGCCCGTGCTACACTGTTGCTGTCAATGATTCCAGATCCTTTTTGAAAGGTTCCTCTTGTTCAAATTAGATTACGTCTGTCATGAAGGTTTCTCTTGTTCAAATTAGATTACGTCTGTCATATAGAACCACCTAACTTCCACTGGCAACGGCAGTGTTTTCTTGAAATATCACATAAACAGAGGACGTCAGACGAAAGTGAAACCTGAAAAAGTCTGGGAAGGCGGCCCTTGGGACGAAATACAGCGGACGCATAAGTGTGACACGGCGCCCATTCCGTAGAAACATAACACAGCAAGCATGACCCAAGAGAAACGTTCAATTGGGACATCAGGGGCTTTTCGAGAAACGCGTTACAAAGCGTTTGAAATCAACTTTTACACACACACACACACGAAGGAAAAAATACCAAAGAATCGGAACAGTCAAAATTCTACCCCAGGAAAATTTGTGGGGGTGATTGACGCACATCACTAGTGAACTGAATGAAGTCAGGAAAGTAAAAGAAACATTGCTGCTGTCCATCGATCGTTTCCTTTGATCCGCGAATCAAGTAAGTGTAATGCTGGATGTCTGCGAGGTTGTGGTCATAATCTCAAAACGATAATTATGGCCATCGGCGTCCTACTGACCAGTGAGTACTAATTAGGATATATTCACGGCGTAACGATTCAGTTTACTACTTGAAAAATCAATAGAATGGAGCTACTCGAAAAAAAGTGTGGAAAGTTACGGACACTCATTAAAAAGTGTATTTTTGAAGACGGTTCCTTGTTTTTAGGGTTGGCAAAAACCAGCAAATCACGCGGCTCTCCATAAAAGTAGCTTAATTCGATGCCGTCATTTCAACATTGTGAATTTATAAAACGACAGAATTGTTGAGCTTCGTGAGGATGGTAGCGTAGCTAACGCCCGTAGACTGAAGATGAACAAAGAAAGACCGAGCCAAGTTTCCACAACAATGGGTTAGAACTACAGGTAACACCCGGCCTTCATTTGCTTAGGTGGTCCAACAACTTTCACATCGCCCTTGGGAAAGACAAACAAACAAGACATTCCAGAATTTACGCCATAAACCGATTCCCGATGGTTTCAGAATGCAGACTTACCCAATTCACGCATTATCCTCAACCCTTCTTGGTAGTTTGGCCCAGCACGACGTACGAAAACGCGCACATTGTGCCTCTGCAGTTCCGACTTGAATTCCATCAAAGCACGCATAATGCCCTTGAAGGTTGCGGCCACATTAGTGAAATTGGCGATACCCCCACCGATTAAGAGGATTTTACCTGATGAGTGAGAAAGGAACCTGGATAAATAATTCCACTGAGGCCGGTAGAAAAGATGAGTTAAGAACTTCACGTCGTATTCTGAATTGCTTAAATACCACACTCGAGCGAAGACAAACACGCAGCGATCATATACACAAGTAAAAAACATACCCACGGCTCTCCACAGTAATAACTGCTCTATGATGATCATTAAACGTCTTTAGGAGGCCTTAGAGTGCATAGACAATCTCTAACTGGCAGCATATGGTATTCTTGAATTCAGGAGGACGCTACCGTTCAGAGGGGCGAGATGGTCCAGTAGTTAGAGCGCGGATGTACTGACCGGAAGATCCGTGGTTCGAACCCGACCTCTGCCGCTCGACTTCCTCTGTCTAGGCTTGGGCATCCCAGCCTTCGTGCTTCCTTCGGGTGGCATGGCAACTAGGCAACGGAAGGGTGTTACAGCTGATCGACGACAAACCACTATCTTTCAGTGCATCGCAATGACCAGTTCAGATCAATTAGTGACGAAACGTTTGTAATCCAACAACCAAGCTCGGCGAACAGATCAACAAGCAGTCAGCACACCTGAGCAACTTATAATTCCCGACACCGCCGCTACCAGTCAATACATCCGTCGAGGTGTAACTCTAGAATTTTCACCTGCCATTCCAAATTCTAAATTTTCATTGGATACGATGCTACCTGTTCAAAAAGTTGACAGAGCGATGGATAAACAGCAGCTGAATTATTCAGATATTCTCTTGACGAAACTAGAGACTCATCACACCAGTTGACGGACAAAAGGCCTTGAACAACATACATTTCATCCCATACAACAGGGATCGAAAAATGTTTTTTCACTACGGGCCGGACCCAGAATTCCACGACGGTTCCGTGAGGCGGAGGCAAAATCACGCCACGGCACACTCAAATACGCATACGCACAAGAGACCAATAGTATCAGTAAACATAACGACGAGCGAAGCAAGTAAAACTGGTCTTTTGAGTTTATCGCCGTGTAGCCAGTGCTGAATTGGAACATTTTAATAGTTTGACTCTGAACATTAGGCTAGGACAATTAAGCAGTTCATGCCAGGTGTTATAAAACAGTTCACACAGTATACTACTCAGAAGGTCGCCGAAGATACTCCTCTGAAAAAATCTGTAAAATTTATAAAACATTCCCTAAACATACTTGTAATGCACTACTCTTAAGGCTGCTGAAAATTCGCCGACAGACCACGACCGGTTTTGCCCTTCCTGGGGCTCATCAGGTAGGCGCAGTCTCCGGGTTTCCGTCAACCTTATGTTCTACTTGAAACCAAATTGCACGAAATTAGCGAACACTCATCTGCAAACTAATTTGGTTTCGCGAGAGACTCACCTGGAACCCAGCTGAATCTCTCGTTTGTGCTGCTCTCGGGCAACTGTCTCGGGCAACTGAATGTGCGGCACCAGGCCGCTTCATGCCTCAGTCACTACGACATTCGGTCCCAGGTGAGTCTCTTGCAAAACCAAATTAGTTTGCAAGTTTCATCTCTGTGTCAATTTTAAGTTATGTAGCGATATCTTCAACAGTGCATTGGTATGACTTTAGAACAACCGAAAATGGGCAAAAAGCACATTCGTGAGAGAGCGAACTTGATGTTCGACTTGAAAATAAATTTTTTAAAAAAAAAAACAAGAAAACTTCAGGTGGGTTCTGAATAGGACGAGTAATGTTTCATCGAACAGTGCAGTTGACTGTTACAGTCCTTTGAAAAGCGACAAAATCAAAATTGTTTTCGTTAACTTTTTCTAATATCATCGCTTGAATTCACTCTAGAAGAATTCTGAATAGGACAGTTCAGTCCTTTGAAACGCGACAAAATCAACATTGTTTTCGTTAACTTTTCCTAACATCATCGCTTGAATTCACTTTAAAAGATAAACGGGTCGTTTCATGGGAAAAAACCCGACAACTTTAGAACTACTAAAGGTACAGAGAGAGGCCAAACGACATAGAAAAGTCTGGGTCTGTCCAGGCGACCAACCCGGTACTTCTGGGCTAGCTCAATATTGGGACGATTCCACAGATGACTGATCATCATGTTCTTCTTGTTGGACCCGTGAGACCTTCCAAGTCAGTCAGGAGTAAGGAAAATCCGGTTCAGTACAAACAGCTAAAAGGAATGTCAGGCGGACCTACATTTGTAACAGTTTTGGCCAGCACTTGCTTTTTGAAGCTAGTGACACTGTAAGGTTGGTTTCAATGGGGGCACCAGGCATCTGTCAAGGAACAGTCGTCTTTGTGACGGCAATTCACTGAAAATCTAGTTAACCAACAATGAGAGACAGAGAAGAACCTAGCATCTGAAGAGTTGCCCTGAACCTAGCTAGCCGACATCGACCGCCCTCGAAACGAAACCCAAAATGTGTCTACTAACAGGGACAGTCTACAGAAAGGAATCTCATCAGTAGCACATTTGCTTGTTACAAAGAACTACATCGCTAGAACAAGCAATATGCGTAACAGCAAGGGCTTTCCGCTCAGTCTGGTATGCAATCGTATGAACACTCTTTAGGTTATGTAAACCCAAGGGGATAGAACCAGATGAAAGTATGGGTCAGCTATGGATGGCCCATAGCTGTCAAAACAGGTGGAGCCAACTAAAAAGGGGAACCCATAATGTATGCAGAGCTTGTTCTCCTTTATAAACGTATAGACACAAACGGGAAGCGGATGCTGTTCAACAGTCATTTAAGGACGTACAATCGTGGTCACATTCGCGGACTTGACGCTGTGGACTGTACACAATACTTAGGCATGATCAAATTAACAGGTGAATTCAATCAGGTCTCCTAGAGTAAGCTGGTAACCTGCATTACCGGTAAGCCGGACGCCAATCATATTCACATGCTACCGTGTGGTTTTACATGGCTTCACTCGTTTCACACGCATACTGCTCGATCACTCAACCACAAAATCGAATTTCGGGAATCGACCGTAAGCTACTGACGAAACACGTGAGCAGTATCTGGCTAGATATCAAAGCGTCGCTCCGGTATCAGGTAGAAGGTTGGTCGTTGCAATGCTTATTGATTATCGTCAGATATTCAAAAAACGCTTGAGAATGTTCACTTTCGAATACATTGTGCAAATGAGATTTTTACTTCGTGCCCAACTGCTCAGTAGGTGTTGTTCAATGGACAACTGCCTACTGAGCGGCGTTCTTCCTTTCGCCAGTGCGCAGAACGCCTCCTCCGCACCCACAGAGGCTAGAATCAACTTCGTCGTTCAAGAGTACACAGGCTAAGCAAGGAAATATGTCGGAAAACCTCTGAGCATGAAAGAGACACGGACACACGACAACACGTTTACCACAACGTTCCCCAGAGATTCATCAAACAAGAAGCGTAGGTGGAAGCGTAGGAAAAATCGCTCAGGGATAGACATGCAAATCCTCAGAGGAGAGAACGCGCTCTTACAGTTTCAGATTGCATCACTCAGCCCAAGAAAAGAAACAAACAGGGAACACATACCATCAGGATGGGGATTGCCGCGTGTCATCAGTTGCAGGATAGTTTTTGCGTACTCGTAAGTTTGACCTTCTGAGGGAGCGCCAGAATATTCCCCGTAATTGGCCAAATCCGAAGCACCGTTCCCTTTCCCCTGCTCGTGTTTCACTTGTTCTGCCAATGCACATACGGTATCCGCGTAGATGACAGAAGCCCCACCCCCGGCACTCATTGTCCAGATACGTCCGTTTGGATTGAGCACGGACAACTTCATCGAAGCTCCGGTACGCGCATCGAGCTCCGCAATGTGTGCTTCCTTAAAATGGATTAATAAACCATTGTTACTTGTTGACCAAAGCTGGAAAACCTGTGGATAGCGCTTGGTAGAACCGAGTGATATTACGTTTAGTGTTAGGGATAGCAATCTCGAAGTTAGGTCCGAAAAGGAATGAGACACTACTGAGACTACTTCCATCAAATAATCAATAGTTTCAAGGCCGTGAACCATCTGACTGGAATGGGTGCTGTGGACATGTGGCGTCTAAGTCGTTTAAGCTGTAGATCCGCCGATCACCGCACTCGTTGGTCAGTGAAGAAAAAAATAAGAGAATTTTCCAGTACCTTATCATCACAACACCCTAGTTAAACTGACAGCGTAAATTATGCGAGTGTTTTGTGCGGTGGGCAGGTTGAGCCCGAAGCACCCTTACAATTACGGTTCTTATAAAAATCAACCCCCTGGCTCAGAAACTATGTTGCACTGACGGTCTGTCTGAGGAGTCTGGGAAGACCTCTGGAAGCATAGTTTTCGGCATTAGGCTGGGTTGCTATGAGAAGTAGATTGAGCAAAGGACGGAGTTAGAAGCCATGATACTTCTCAGCTCTTACACACACAACCGAACACATTGCAACTTGGGATGCTCGGGTGTCCAAGTGGACTTAAACTTGGATGATTTGGCCTTGGAAACGGTTGCCGATAACCGGTCTTGAAATTCTGCACGATCGACAACTCATGAACGCTAATACGGCAGGAAATGTATATAACTTAACTGCCACTAAGACCAACTGGTGGGAATGGCGGCCTGTCTTTGAATGAGACAGGTCGACGGTAGAATGACCGAAACAGATTGCTGAGTGCTTTAAGATAGCGTCCAAGACATGTACACTCAGCGCTGGAATGCCACAACAACTGCTTAGTGAATGGTCCTTAAACACCAGTGACCAGAAAGCCTTTGGACATTCAAAGGTCACTAGAGAAAGCGGCCATGAACTCGCACGAAGGGATAGGACCCATTGCACATTGAAAGACCTGGGTTGAGCTCAAGTCCCCAACAAAGCATCCTTTAACCGGCAAAAATACCAATCTGGCATTCTTGGACAGCGCTTTTGACCCAGGTTTCGCCCGGAGAACAACAAGCGGTATAAAAGAGTGGGTACGTCATTGAATGGTCTTGATAGTTGTCGAGGTGTGGTTCACAAAATAGCTGAAAGAACTGACTTATACAAAGTTGTATACACCGTCCCTCAGAAGAAAAACAACTTGATTTGGTCTCGCAAAGGTTTTCAGATTCCTACGACCCTCTTAGAAGAGAACTTGGTGTCAGATGGTCCGTCTGTCTAGAGGTGTTGATCAGAACAATTGGCTTTTGCTTGAAAGCACATTCGTAGGAGTCCGAGCTTATGGGGGCGTCGATGGACTAAATGAGGTGGATCAGGTCCAGATATAAAGGAGTAATAATAATAATAATAACAATAATAATAATAATCGTTCGGCTGTAATACCCTTTCGGTGTCTAGCTGCCATGCCACCCGAGAGAAGCACGAGGTCTGGGATACTGCCAGCTGCCCATGCCTAGACAAGGGAAGTCGAGAGGCATAGATCGGGTTCGACCCACGGACCTCCCAGTAAGTAAATTCGCGCTCTTAACCACTTGAGCCATCTCAACCCATGAAGGAGCAGCACCAACTAGTGAAAATAGCCATAAATATCTATCTATCCGACCAACCAAATGGCAAGGCTGAATGGAGATCACCTTAAGACGATCTGACAGAGTACTCGATCCAAAGTTCCTATCTTAACTAGTCAGCTGTCCCTAACTCAACCAAGCAGAAAACTCACTTCTGGTGTCTGGACGCGCCCAAACGGAAATGGAAATTCCAGTGACTGGCCTTGTGGAGACCAAAGTGAGTTGGCAGAAAAGAGGAACTCAGCACACTGATCCAACTTGGCAGCAACGTCCAGTAT